AAACAGGATCAATTTTAATTCCACGCTGACTTATTGTCTCCTAAACTATTAAAGATCAACCTCTGAGCAATAAAGTTTTCCTCTGAGAGCTTTCGTTCAAAAAGGCCTTTCAAAAAGAGTATCAAGGGTGCCAACAGATTTAGAAACGATTGGCATATTCATGGACATACGCACAGAGAGCACGCCACCAAAAGAACGTGACTGAGACACAACGCTGCCCTTTTCCTCAGACCTCTCGCTCTCTCTCTGCTATTCCATGATGCACACAAAAATCCACTGTTCCTCAGCAGAGTGAGTCAGAGGAATGGAATTGAAGCTCTGCTATGATCATCTGTGCGGCAGAGGGGGTTTCCTCCACCAGGAAAGAGCCCAGACCAGAACAGTCACACACTAAACGAGGGAAAGAAAAAAAACCACCAAAATGCCATAAAAAGGAAAACGGTGCAACGAAAAACAGGAACAACAAACAGCAAGATGGAGAGAGCAAAATAACCTGAACTTGAGTTAGTGAGTTTGAAATTTGCATTTTTTATAAAACTAACCCCCATCGGTTCCTGGAACTCCTGCTCTTTGCTGTCTGTAGTCGCTCAGGCTACTGTGGGAGGCGCCAACGTCTCTTAACATGCATATGCATCTCTGCACATATAGAACTCACTCTGTGTGTGTTACTGTCGGTTTGCGTGCAAGTGTAGAAAGTTGTGTGTTTCTATATATAGAGTATTCTGCTGCTCTGATTATGGATATTATTATTACTACTATTTAAATATAATATAGATTTATAACACTATACTTTGTGTTATATGACTTTGGCATTAAATTACAGAAAACTAGTTCACAGTGCTGCATAAGTGTTTCTAATACAACGGCTGAGGGAGTGACAGCTAATTAAAAAATTTTCTCTCGTTTGACCAACGTAATCAATCTCTCGATATTTTTTGTCCTCTTTTGGAAAGTCATAGAAACACTATCATGGATTATTTTGCTATTAGAGCGAATGGGAATGCAAATTTACATTTGCTGTAGTTTCCGTTATAGTTTTTTTTTTTTTTGATGGCAAAGTTTAATTTTCAGCATCATTACTCCAGTCTTCAGTGTCACATGATCCTTCAGAAATCATTTTAATATGCTGATTTGCTGCTCAAGAAATATTTCTTATTATTACCAAAGTTAAAAACACTTGTGCCGCTTACTATTTTGTGGAAAACCACGACACTTTTTCTCCAAGACTCTTTGATGAATAGAAAGTGCAAAAGAACAGCATTTATTTGAAACTGAAATCATTTGAAATATTATAAATGTCTTTAATGTCACTTTTGATCAATTTAATGAAAGTCGTTCCAGAGTTTGGTTAGTAACAGCTTTTCAAACTTCCCTGCAGACCTCAGTCGTTCTGCTCTGATTGGCCAGCTGACCCAGTGCATTGTGATTGGCCGAACACCGCAAGCACTCGTCGGAAATGTAATGCCCCTTACCATAATCGTGAGCTTCATCTTTCAAAATAAATGTAAAGACAGTAAATAATGTCATTAGTTTTACCATCAGTTCAAGCCCGAAAGGGGAACAGACACAGTAATGATGCAGTACACAAGCCGCGGTTAAGACAGCTGACTCTACTGTGATGTGACGCTCTCTCTCGCTCTCTGTCACGCGCGCGCGCGCGCACACACACACGATGCGCAAAACTCCGCATTTGAACAGTCAATAGCAAATACTTAAACTAATAACAAAACAGTAGCTGATTCAGAAGCGCCAGATTGTCATAGCAAAGTTAGAATTACCTCCTCTCCTAGGTTCACGAAACGGTCGTCCATAAAATGCATTGCTGTTCTGTTGTAAGTAATCTTAAAGATTCCTAAATGCATCTACTTTCGGAAGGCCAAATAAAGTGCTTTTGCTTTCGCCTAGAAACACACAGCGTCTCTCTGACATGGCTGCATCAAACCTAACTGCAGTTACTGAAACCACGCCTTCTTTCTTTGCGTGCACATTTGGGCGCATTATGCAAATATTCCCACATAGTGACCTAGATATGTGGGGGCGTGTTAGAACGAGCCGTTTTAGGGGGGCGTGGCAGAGTCTTAACTTTGATAAAGAATATCTCTTTGGTTTTGAGACTTTAGTCTTTGCAACTTCAGGGATCTTATCTATGCACAACCAGCTTGTAACACTCCAAAGAGAAAGGAAAACTTGAAATCGCATCATATAACCCCTTTAAGAGAATTCTGGATATTCCACTCAGGTTGTGTAGAAGACTCCAAAACAGAGAGGAGCCAGACACAGTGTTTTATGATGCCTTAACATAAGTAAGCAATATGACGTTCATCAAGACCAGCATGTCCCACAGCGAGATCAAAAGCTTAGCACGCACCCCCCAAGACTAAAGTTTGCCCGTATTTTGTCTCCTCTGAGGCCAGAGGCGACTGCTGTCTGCTCAGGGTTAACCTGGAAAGAGTGTTGGGCCAGGTGTGATGTGTTAGCGGTGCCTGATCTCCACATGTACACATTCTTTTAGAAGTTTTCCTTCGCTTCTAAACGTCTGCCCAAGGCCTCTTACTCTCTCGACTGTCAGAAGGGAGACATTTTTTTTTGCACACAGTTTTTTGGGACCGCGGCTGTTAATATTAGACATCTGCCTTTTGGAGTTCTGTTTCTCGGAGTTGGAGGAAAGGGGTGAGGGATTGGGGGGCCACAGAGAGGGGGGGAGGCCTCCGAGCCACATCAACAGGAAACATATTTACACAGTCCAGAGAAAAAGAGTGAAGGGAAGAGATAGCGCTAGAATACAAGGATGCAGAGAGCATTTTACAAAGAAAATCAGGTGAAGTCACTCAATATGCAAATAAATAAAATCGAGGAGAGAGAAAAATCGAGGAGAGAGAAAGAGAGTCATTAGTCTGGCATGCATGCGTGTGTGTGTGTGTGTGTGTGTGTGTGTGTGTGAGTGTGAGTGTGAGTGTGTGTATATTTTACAGGCCTCCTGATGAGAGTGAGTCGACAATATGTCTGTGAGGATACGGACTAATACACAGTGATGCATATGAGCAGCAGAACATATTTTTAGAACACCTAACAATCCTATTGACCGTTTCTCGGAAGGATTGCATCAGCGCCAATCCTGCAGACGTCCATCAGAAGCCCTACGCCTGGCAGGAAAAGTGATTCAGAGGAGGAGGAAGTAGAATTCAGATGCTCCTTTTCCTCTTGGCCAGTACGTTTCCACTGAAAAACTCAGGGTTCTTACCACATAAACAGCTTCACAAAAATATATAATATAATATAAAAGCTAGATCTCATAAAACTGGATTGCTCACATTATAATCAAAACAGTCGACACTGACTGTCCGGACACCCTGTTTGTGTTTGTCAATAGCTTAACTAATTGGCCACCAAAATAAAAATATTTTACTTATAAATATTGTATGTCTACACTACTGTTCAAAAGTTCGGAGTTAGTAAGATTTTTTTTAAAGAAATTAAGAGTTTTATTCAGCAAGGACACATTGATATGACACATTATAAGTTTACAATAAAAAAATGTTAAAGGGTTAGTTCACCCAAAAATGAAAATTAGCCCATAAATTACTCACCCTCAAGTCATCCTAGGTGTATATGACTTTCTTCTTTCAGACGAATCCAGTCGGAGTTATATTAAAAATTGTCTTTGATTTTTCAAGCTGTTTCATGGCACTCAGCGGGTGTTGCATGCATCAGTCCAAAAGCAGTTAAATAAAATGCGCCCATCCATAAAAACAAAGTGTCTCACACGGCTCCGGGGGGGGTGAACAAAGGTCTTCTGTAGCGAATCGATGCATTTTTGTAAGAAAAATATCCATATTCAAAACGTAATTTTGGGCTAATTTTCATTTTTGGGTGAACTAACCCTTTAAGCAACATAACTGATTCAACAATAATAATAATAAATGTTTATTGAGTACTAAATCAGTATATTAGAATTATTTCTGAAGGATCATGTAACACTAACTTTTAATCTCTTACATACACTTGCAAAACTCTTACTGAGGGAATTCGGTGGCCTTTATGAAGTTAAAAAGACATTATGAGGTCAGATGTAATTTAGTGTAGGAATTCACTGACCGAATGCCTCTCCACTGGCCAAACACACAAGAGGGTTATAAATGGTTTTGTAGCACCGTCACATGGCCTTGATCCCTTAGAGGTTTGCAAATAATTATTGTGTAGAACATTTTAGGGCAATTTAGGAGGGGAAGAAAAAAATCACAAAATCATTTTAAATTAAAAAAAAATTGTGATTTAAAATGCGATAAAAATAAAAAAAAATCCTGGTTTGCTGTTCTTGTTTGTAGGGCAGCACAATCTGGGTGAATTTAGTGAATATATATCAATATAAGTACTTGTGTACTTGTTACATGTACTTACTGTAGTAATAATAGTAAATTTTGCATAATTACTTGCAACGGAAGCCTATTCCTAATCCTAAACCGATATTAAGTATGTTGTTAATTAATATTACTCATTATTTAAATATATAATTATGGACACCTTAAAATCAAGAGTAACCCAATATAACAAAAAAAAAAATCATTATTATTATTAAAATGATAACTAAATAGAAATATGAAAAAAATAAATATTACTATTGTAAAATTACAAAATTTTGGTTTTATTTATTATTAACTGTGCAGCTCTTGGACACTTGCAAAACTGATGCTGATTTCTAGAGATGCGAAGAATGCAAGTTGCAGGAAATATCAGCAGAGACAAGCAAAAAATAATGTAATAACAGGTTAATTATACTTCACATTATGCCAGATTGCAGATTTGTGTCTGTTTCTGAGTGTGCTTGAGTTCAGAAAACAGTCTTCATTCCAAACAAACAAACTGAAAGTAAAATAGACTTCAAATGGCATCATAAACTCTAGAGAAAACAACTTGATTCCTTTCAAAGCGGGTCTGATTCACGCACAGATTTGAAGAGTAACATTTAGCAAGAGCAATATGAAGATCTTCATTGGACAAACCTTGGATGCATTGCAAAGCCCCATCTTCCGTGTCACCAATGTTTATATGATGATGTAAATCTGTGTAGAGATGATGTAATCTGTATATAAAATGCAGTTATAGGGCGACAGTTTCTCTACCACAGCTGGGAGACTGTGAGAGAAAATAAAAATTAAAAAAGGTACAAAACAGCAAACTTTGTCTTGCAGCAATCTTTGAAACATTATGTGTGCCTCTAAAATTATTTAAATAAATATAAAATACATTAAAAAAAATTATAATAAAGTACAAAATAGTAAAATAAAATTTTATGCATAGAGAATTATATGCACTTTTTGATGAAAAATTTTAATAATATGTCTTTCTGGATTTAACCCTTGAAGAGCAATTTCCAGAAGAGCCATTTCCTACAATAATCATTTATTTTTTCTCACAGAAACAGATTTCAAAATGAATAGTTATCCATGTATTACACAGTACATTATAATATTGTGACGCTTAAATTCACATAGGAATTTATTAAACAACTGTTTGACAATTACTGAAATTATGAATTTTTGCATTTGTTTTGTTTGTTTTTATTAGACAACATTTATTTAACATCTATTACGATAATAAATTATACTTTAAATAATTAATTAACACAATTTTATTTATTGCAATTTGTTGGTTATTGGCCATAACTTGAAAACAATTACAGCAATATAACTGTAAATGACACTTCAGTTTTTAATTCAAATGTATACACTTAGCATGTTCATTGCATTTGTAAAATTAAATTTTTAACATTTAGATTCACACATTTAAAAATGAATGTGGTTTTAACCTTGTGTTCAAAGAACCATCACAAACGACCGTTTTCAACACATTATGGTTTGAAATTAACTAATTCTATTTTTGCATAATACAGAAAATCAGGGTGCATGCTGCAACCTTTGAAGCATAAAACACTTGCACAACAGACCTGCACAGAAGTCAATACATGTTGTATTGTATCGTTTAGCTTGATGTAGAAAGACTGCACTTCCGTCCTCAAAACAAGCTCAATATTGCTTGTCACACTGGATGAACACCTCTCAGAAATGCTTCACATGACGCTCTTAAAAAAAACAACAACAACCAAAGTTCAGGTCGGGGGAAAGATCAGCACAGCAATGATAATGTCATCTCAGCTGACTGGTGCCATTTTCCTCTACGAAAGCAATAACCTGTCCCATTTAACTCAAACGTCCCCCCCAGGGGTCAAACCCAAGAGCAACTGATATCATTCATCTGATGCTCTGAAGTAGCACAAGAAAAACAACAGCTACAGTGATTACAGACAGAAACCTTAAGCTAGGAAAAAGTACTGTGGTAGTACCATCAGGTCCATATTGTTTTTTAACCATGGCAGAATGGTCATAAAATTTTCTGTTTTTATAAATTCAGCTGGTTGTTAAAAAACGCAAAAATCACCTACATACTTTGAATTATTAAGACGTGAGAAATTGTAGACGTGAGACGTCCTCTGATCTCCAGGAGAGAGGAAGATGCGAAAATAGAGGTCGGGGGCTTTTTATTGGGTCATAAATGCCTTCACTTCCACTGCTAAACACACATAAACATACACACCACCCACAGCAAACCTGTTCCCTTGAAAATTAACATGAAATGATTCACAGCTCACAGTCTCCACAATGTGAGATACTGTATATACAGTGTATTCAGTATAAACAGTATATAAACTTTACTTGGTAAAGTTACTTTACGTGGTCTCTAGAGACTGAAAAATAAGAATGAAATGGGACTGAAAAAAAAAGAAGTCTTGGTGATGTCAGCTGCAAAGAAAGATTTAGAGGTGGAACAACTCATTACATTAAAATATTAGCTCCACTTTTTAATTTGGGAAAAAAAAAAAAAAAAATTCAGAACATTATTTTCTTTGAACCAACATGCATCATTATTCCAATGAAGAAAAAAATTAATAAACAAGACCGTCAGCCTTACTAACTGAAAAGACTAGTAAGACAACTAACTAGTATTCCATTGTGACTTGTCTTTAACACTTATATGGACAGAAGCTCTACATTAACCTGACTTCATGCGCTGCTGAAGCATCCTGCAGTCTTTCTCATTCTGAGCATGCTTGTTTTGCTTTCCTCTGTGCTCTATGCCACGGCCTGTGATTACCGCCCAACTAAAATCATTAACCCTACGGCTTAACACGCCAAAGCCTCTGGGGTCCAAAAACCCGCTCTCTTCTCCTGTTCCCCTTCCTCTCTCTTTACCCCTCAGGCTCTCAATCCATTCTTTCTTGTCTTTCTACTCTCCTCATTCCTGAGGATGGCTGGAGTCTTAACTTCTGTAGGGTTGAGGGGGGGGCGTTTAAGGGCTAAATCTCCTGAGTGAAAAGTTAAGAAGATTCATAGAATGTCAGAGCCGAGGGGAGTGGGGAGGGGGTGTCACACAAAGAGACCGGACCCCCTACCTTCATGGGTCATGTTGTTGTGACCACGTCGCAGCGAGTGTCAATCAGGAAAGACACAGAGAGTCCTTTCATGGTACGGTTGAGGTTCCAGCGATGTGGGGTATTCCCCAGACCACCTCCTCGTCGCCCTCACACCCCCTCGCACACAGTCAAACAGCATGCCTTTCATACAACCAAAACAACACCAGTGAAACAATCGTTTCCTTGATAACATCCTCTCAGATCTTCCTCGGGACCTGGATGTTTGATGATCACAGAGGACATGGATCAGAGTGCAACTGGATAGGTATGTTGTGTTTGGCCAAATTCGGAAGAAAGGCTATAAGATCTATAATATTCACCAATATGTATCCTCTTTCAGAGATCTCAAATGACACAAAACATCTGAGAAATGAAGGAGCCCTGAGGTATGAAAGAGCAACTTTTGAGCAATATTTAAAATTCAATTAACTTACATACATGTCTTTAGAAAGCTCTTTCTGTTATACACAGACGTACAAGCTTCTGGGATCAGGAGGAGATTTCTTTGGGAAAAAAATTAATAACATTACATATATATAGATTAGATAGATAGATAGACAGATAAGATAGATAAGATTTAGATGATAGATAAGATAGATAAGATTTAGATGATAGATAAGATAGATAAGATTTAGATGATAGATAGATAAGATTTAGACAGACAGACAGACAGACAGATAGACAGATAGACAGATAGACAGATAAAAATCAACTCAAACTTTTGAACAGTAGTTTATATTTTGTATAGATTCAACTGATGACAGTTCAACTTTGGCCTGAATTTAGAGAGAACTATGGGCTATTACTGGAACTAGGGAGTTCAACTCTAACCTAATTCAAACACTGATGACATATAAACCACAAGATATTCACTGACTCAACTTCCTTAAACTCCCAAAATCTACTATGTACAGTGACATTAAGCATACAAAAGCATTTCAACAATGCAAATTCGCAGTAAAATTTAAACGTGAAGCGTGTAATTTCTGCAAACATAATGATTATATTCAAACAGGTTTCCAGAATACTCATTAACCATTAGTTGATACAACAGACAGTCCCACCCCAAACTCACACCATTGGCTGAGTCAGTGTTGCTGTGTGAAGGCAAGCTCAAATCAACAAGACTATGTTTTGATCGTGCCATAGTGTGGAATCAACCTTACTTTTTACAACTACACATTAGAAAGTACTTTAGAAATTATAATAGCATCAAAAATGTATACTAAACAGCACACAAGCAGTAACAACAGCAAACAAGCAGTAACAACAGCACACTGCCACACACACCACCATAAGACAGATTTAATTCTTTTTAGAAATCTGTTCTTGCATCTGGCAGGTTTACAGTCCCAGATGTTGACCCAGTCTGGCATGGGCCTATAACCCAGATGTACAGTGACATTAAGCATACAAAAGCATTTCAACAATGCAAATTCGCAGTAAAATTTAAACGTGAAGCGTGTAATTTCTGCAAACATAATGATTATATTCAAACAGGTTTCCAGAATACTCATTAACCATTAGTTGATACAACAGACAGTCCCACCCCAAACTCACACCATTGGCTGAGTCAGTGTTGCTGTGTGAAGGCAAGCTCAAATCAACAAGACTATGTTTTGATCGTGCCATAGTGTGGAATCAACCTTACTTTTTACAACTACACATTAGAAAGTACTTTAGAAATTATAATAGCATCAAAAATGTATACTAAACAGCACACAAGCAGTAACAACAGCAAACAAGCAGTAACAACAGCACCCTGCCACACACACCACCATAAGACAGATTTAATTCTTTTTAGAAATCTGTTCTTGCATCTGGCAGGTTTACAGTCCCAGATGTGGACCCAGTCTGGCATGGGCCTATAACCCAGCTAATGGCACATTATAACACAGAGGAAGCTGGGAAACCAAGAAAACCATCACTTTTTCCTCTCAATCTCCCCCTCATTTCTTTATTCTCTCATTCCATCCCTTCCCTCAGCCCTGATCAGCTGAAACACACACACAAAACACAAGCTCAGGCTTGCAAACACACATTCCTAGAGAATGAGAAACAATCTAAATGTCACATTTTTTTTGCCTGCAAAGTAACTCCATCTCACCTCAGAGTGCTCAGGATTTCCATCTCTCCAACGTTGACTCACGTCTGTGACTCTGATCAGCGTTTAGAGCCAGATGACATCACCTCTTTAAAAATATCTCAACAACCTCGGCCACAATGGAACTGAAGCGATAACGGTCCAGACGAGGCACAGACAGGAATTCGAGGACACATTACAGGAGTGTGGCAGAATAATGAACCAACTGACTGGCCTTTATTTGCGTCTGGTCTATTGCTCTAGTTGAGAGGTTTCTGGCCTGATAGCTAGTAGAGTTACCCAGCTTGCCTATCAGTCTAGGGCTACAAAGTTAGAGTGAATTATAAAGTTTTGAAAAAATCTACATTTAAAGAATAGTCCACACCACAGCTATGATGATAACAATACACAGGAACAATATAATTGGAATCACTTTCTGAATAATTCACTTATAATAAATAGAATGTTATCGTTT